TATGCCCAGGGGGCCTTATTTTTGTAAGTTATCTAGTTCACTGAACAAAGAGAGAATACTTTGAACATCTTGAGAATTTAACATATGTAATGTGAATGCTCAACTCTTTGTTCAATGAGAAAGATGATCTAGTGGGTGTTCATGAACATGGTCTTGGTGTATATTATTGTGTGTTTTGCCAGGGTGCTATAAGTGATATCGAAACGCTTGAAGGATTCGACGGAGAGAAATGTGTTTGTCACATTGCCAAAAAAGCGAATGAATAAACCACCTATCATATCTCATTTGTGAAACTGATAGAAATTTGTTTTGAACAGTTGGTGCAATGTTAAAAGATAATGATAGAGCCCAGGAAAATATGTTTGTAACGATGTGATAAATGTAAAAGAAGCCCACATACCACAACATATTTATTTGTGAAAACTAAAACATTACGGTGCGTGTCTTCAAAAGAATCGATAAAAATATTTAGGGAAGCAAAATTATGTGACGTTGCAATAAATAAAAAACCGACCCAAACTCCGAACAAAAAATAATCATAGTAGCACATCTAAATCGGCTCCTTACATGTCTTCCTGTTGTGGTTGTCAATTTTTTCGCACCGATCACAACGAATACGTTGCACCACTTCACCCTTTGATGAAATTCTTTTCTATTTGGGCTTGCCAGACGGATGTTTCACGTTTGGCAACGCAATCATGTAATCGTCGGCTGTAAATGTCGATAACTCCACAGTTTGAATCAGATATATTTGGTACGAGAGGTAGTGTATATGTTGTTTGACGTCCCCAGGTATAAGAAATTTAAGGTGGACAATGATGACGATATCCAAAACATGCTGTGCCTTGCAAAGTTGTTCGGCCTAAATCATTTTGATGTTCTTATTCAAACCTGGGATATTTCGATGGGTGGTAATTGCCGGAGGGAGGGGGGCGAATTGTACTGAAGGTGAAAATTCGACTATTGGTAATCGGACGTTCGTGTGGAAAGATCAGAAGGATTTGTCACCAACATATTGCCGTAACAAATCAAAGACGTATTTGTCCGCTCAATGGGCCTATCAATCAGCTGTGCGAATGTCAACGCATGATGCAACTGAATAACAACATTGGTTTGACCGTAAGTGCACAATAATAGCATAACATCATCCATACCTGTCACACAAATCGTATCCGAACCCATTACACCGCCAACATATACGAAAATAAAATGAATAAAAATGATATTTGACATTTAACAATTGTGCGTTGCGGATGTTATGATTGCCTAGCATTATGTCACATGAACACAAACAAAACATAAAAATTTGGGGATAAAGAGTACACACACGCTTCGAACCATAAAAAATCACCTTACACACTATCAATTACGTGACAATAACATCAACAACTATGGAAATGAAATGAATAAAATGGCATTTGACATTTAACAGCAACTGTGCATTTGTGGATGTTATGAGTGCCCAGACTCAAATCATATGAACACACAGAAAACATATCAAACAAGGGATAAAAATCACACAAAAACTTCAAACCTTAAAAAACACCATACGCAATAATAATGACATGCCAATAACATCATCGAACCACCACATGACACAACCCACAATGTCACGCGCAAACACATATGCAAATGTAAAACCCTAACACCATGACTTACCTGTTACAACCCCGATTGGTCCATGAAACAATGCAAAATCACGGTCAAAGAAAAAATCGCACAAACGGTGAAACAATAAAGCACAACACAAACAACACCCATCGCTCCCCTCCCAAAATCAAACCAATAAAACAAATAAAACCCTTGCATACATTAACATTACCATTTCCCCAAACAACACACTGAATCCCCCATTTAGGAAAAATGAATCCCACAAAGGGTATTAATGTAAACTCAAATGGACCCAAAATCAACTCAATAAACGTCCAAAATTAACTAAGTAACATTACCAAAAAAAAAAGGACTAAATGGTGCATAAAAAAACTCTTAAGACTAAATAGTTCAACTTTCCACAATTTAAGATTTATGTGTAATTTTCCATTCATGATATGTGTATTTTCATAATTCATAAATTCAATTATTTGAGAAATTTATATGAGACTTTAAGCCTCAAAGACCCTTTAATATTTTTGTTTATATTCTATAATAACTTGCATATGATCCGGGATAAGATTTTAAATAATTACTTATGGTTGAATCAAATACTAGTATATCACTCGTGTTATACACGAAATTGGATTTAAAAAATTTATTTATGATTATGTCAAATATATTTTATAAATATATTTTTAAATTGTTATTATAAAATATATGTAATTTTAAAAGAAAATGTTGACATTTTATAATTGAAGTAATAAAAATAAAAATTTATTACATTTGTTCGAAATTCACTAAATAAATAAAATATATTATAACTAGAATATAAATTATTGTGGGTCTTCTATCAACATTCCTACATTGTCAACATAATAGTTAGTATTATAATTGATAAACAACACATATATTATGTATTTATAAAATGTTATGCTTACATATTATTATTTTTTTTAACTTTCTAAAAGGTATAGACATTCTTCAGACCAATCTATATTTAAAATATAGGTCACGCACGATACATAATTTAGTTGACGTAGCATTGTTGGTACATGTATGATAAATGCATATGCACGATCTTGGCATGACACAATATAATCTTTAATCATTCTAACTCTATTATCCTATAAAATTGTAAAATTATAACATTGTACTTGAAAAGACATAATTTTATACATTTGATCTCATATTCTTCAAATATGATGGTTGATATCGTAAGATAAGCTCTGTCCATTTACCTTTAATTTTAAATAATTATTTATGCTGGTATCAAATATATTTTTAAATTATTGACACAAAATATATGTAATTATGAAAGAAAATGTTGACAATTGAAATCTCTCCCTCTGCGTGTATATGCATGAGTTCGAATCCTCTCCAGCCATTCCTCCTATTAAGGGCCAGGATTTGGCTACGTCGCTTTGGCTGGAAAAGACGACTCAGATTAAGTTTGGTCTAAAAAAAAAAATTTTTTTTAATTTTTTTTCCATTCAACATAGCAACAAAGCTTCATTCCCATTCACTTTTTCCCTCCCTCTTCAGCTCTGGTGAACGGTGACGCCATCTCGTGACACCGACGGTGGCGAATCCAAGTCGGCGGTGAACATCAGTGGTCTCTCTCTCTCTCCCTCTGTGTTACTCCAAAGATTTAAGCTGCAATTTGAGTTGCAAATCATAGTTAAGGTAATATGTTTTTTCCTGTTGTTTCTCCCAAATAATTTATTGATCGACTCCATCTTGTCCCTTTTCCCGTCGTTCACCGGAGCTTACCAACTTGTTCTCTTTGTTCTTTGTTTTATTGGTCGACTCTATCATTTTAGGTTAAAATGTTTAGTGAATCTATAAATGACAAAAAATCTAAGATGAAGGAAATCTTTTTGTTGTTTTGCACTTATGGAGTCTATGAACGACAAAAAAATCTATACATGTTTATATTACTCATGAAACAAGCTATACATGTTCATTTTGTTGTTTTGTAGACTATGAATGACAAAATATCCTTTTTGATGTTCTTTGGTGGGTACAAAAAAATTTGAGATAATTTGTATGGAACTTTCTATGTTTCGCATGGCATTTAGAACGAAATTATTTCTATATTTTTTTTAGCATTGTTGTTCAGAAAATAGTCTTAGTTTTTTGGTATACCAAGAATTCTATATCAAACTATTCTACCTGTCAAGTTAGTCTTTAATTTTGGATTCTATCATGCATTCATATTACATAATCAATTTTGGAATCTATCATGATTTCTATGTACAATAGTAGTTGACTTGTGAGTTGTATAGTTTTGTTGAGCTTCTTTGTATTGCATTGACAACTTTCTCATGGCTTGCTACAAAATTAATTGATCACTTTGCTTCTCTAAATAGGTTTTCTGAAAGGTAAATGATTTGTAGTAGTGAAAGTGAAATTAATTCATCACATGCTTGAGTGTGTTTGCTGCCTAGTTGATTTTGTTTGAAGGTTTATTCCTTAATTACTGGGATTAAAATGGTTGTTTAAATATGCATATTTTGAGTGTATTGCTTTGTTTGCCTTTTATCCTATTTTACTTGTGCCTTTGTTTTAACAGATTAGCTCATGAGGCAAATATGACTCTTTTTGATTGGTGTCTAAACTAAAGATAAGCCAAATTGTAAACAAATGTTCCAGAGAGATGTCTTGATGTGCTTTGCTATTTGATATTTTTTTTGTAGGTCAATGTCAATGTCAATGTCAATGTCAATGTCAAGCACAAATGCAAGTATGGGCAGTATTCATGAAGTTAGATTCGACAATCGCAATTGTCGATGTAGCAGCAAAGCTATGATTAAGATTTCTCAGTCAACAAATAACCCTAATTGCTTATATTTTGTATGCCCAATTCACCGAATGGTTGTAAGTTCTTTGAGTGGTGGATACCTCCACATATGCAGCATAATTTGAAGGTGGTCGAGAATGATATTCTTGAAGAATGAATGGATGTCTTGTCCACTCTTAGAGAAGTAATTATCTTGAATAGGGAGCTCAAAGACATGATTATGAAGAGTAGGAAACAATATAAAGACTTGGCAATGATGATTGAAAGAGTTTGTGATAAACTGAATTACGCCTTTGCTTTTCATGTTCTGTTGTTGGTGATAGTTGTCATTCTAGTGTATTTGAAATAGTGTATGTAATGTAGGGTAGATTGAGTATGACTTGTATTGTAGGTTGAATACGTATGTAATGTATGGTGGACCACGGCCATTTTGTTGAAGTGGTAATGAATTTAATGGCTTTTTTTGTTTAATAAAGTGGTAATGATTTATTTGTTTAAGGGTTGAATGTAATGGCTTGTGACCTTGCCTCAAATAAGAACAATTACACTGCACACAGAATAATTGCAAATTCATCAACCATTTTCTTTGTTATTACTCATATGGAAGAAATTTGACTTTGCCTCAAATAATCATAATTGCCTCTTAATAGGCATGCACTGCACACAAAAAATGAAGTACATATTTAATTATAAAAGAATCCAAGTGCATTCATCTCCAAATGCTACTCAAATTTTACAACAATCGAAATGCACTCATGTTCACATGTTCACTCCAAAAGCCCCAAGTTTTACTACAAAAGGACTGCAACATGAACTAAAAACAAAACACTCAGCAGATTGTCAACACAAACAACAGCAAAACAGCACAAACAACAGCATCAGAGGCATTTCCTATGCTTGAAATTTAAAGTGCCTTCCACCTCTTTGTGGCCATCCAAACCCTGAAAAAAAAAAATAAATAAAAATCAATTAAGCACCAAAATAGTATAAATTTGAGCACTAAAAAATCACCAAGATACAACAGCAACACAACACAAATTTAACACCAAAACAGTATTTCTGCAACATTTTCCAACACAAAAAAATAGTAGCAACACAGCACAGTACCAACAAATGACCAAAATAGCACAAAATAGTAGTATTTCAGCACCAAAACAACAAGAAAATAGTACCATTTTCAGCAGCAACAAGCAGCATTAATTTCAGCACCAAATTTAACAAAAACAATACCAAAACAGCAGCAAAAGTACCTTAGTACACAGCAGCAAATTATTTGTTAGTCGAAAATCTGTATTTGAGGCTTCAGAATCTTCAAATCCAATGTCATACCCAGCTTGAAGTAGTGTTATAAATGATGGTTGAGCATAATATGCCAAATTGTTTGCCTACAATGCATTCATATTATATTAGGGTTCATACCAAAATGCAAATGAAAAACTAATTGACAAAGGAACGAGGAGGAAGAGGGGGAGCAAGAGGAGGATGAAGAGGAATAACATTTTCATGAATACTTACATCTCCCCCAACAGATAATGGAGAAGGTCTCACTATTGAAGTAGCAACAGGTATTGAAAAACTCACACATTTAGCACGAAATTTCTTTTTAAAGATTCCTTGTAATGCTAGCTCACATGGACCTTTTATCCTCCTTTTGCCCTTACTAGTTTTCCTTTCAAACTTTGAACAACTGCAAGCCAAAGAGCCATTCATCTCCATCTTTACTTTCCTTGCATTTTTCCCAATAGCATCAACAATTGTGTATAGGCTACAACCATTAGCGTATTCAATTGCTTGTATGTCTGATTCAATAGAAAGAAAATACTCATCTTGAAACTCCTCAAAAATATTTTTAGTGTACTCATTACCCATTTGACTTAACATTATGAATGTCGCTCTCACCCTTGGCAACCTTTGGCATAAAGCATATCCAGCTTTTAACTCCTTGTACCGCTTCTCAGAAAGTACCTTTTCAAAATGCATAAAGAATTCATTTAAATTACAATCAGAACGAATGTAATTCTTAAAAAACGCATTAAAAGATTCACTAAGTTGTGTTGTACTCATTCCCGCAGCCTATGTTGATCTAACATATGGCCAGCCCCATTTTTCTTTCACCCCAAAAGTCAACTTCAACCAGTAATTATCATGAACATCATATGTATCAAGCGTTTCCCCCAACTTCATTTTCCATTCATTTTCATCCTTAATATCAAACATGAATCTATTTAATACAGCTTTCACCCCCCTTATCTTGAAAGAGACAATTACCATGCCTTAATGCATTTTGCATCAAATGCCAAGTGCACAAATGGTGACTCGTGTCAGGCATGACAATAGGTATGGCCTTAGCCATTGCAATCGGTAAACAAAGTTTTTGGTGCCTTTTTTGACATAGCCTCTAAAAAAGTTTAAAATAACCATACAAATGTTTCGGCAGTCTTATCATATAACAAAGCAGCACCAAAAACAACTGTTTCTCTATGATGATCAAATCCCATAAAAGATGCAAATGGCCTATGCTCTTTATTTAACTTGTAGGTAGTATCAAATGTAACTACATTGCCAAATTAGGCATAATCCATGATCATTAGGGATGACAATTTGAAACCGGCCCGACAGGGACCCGATCCCCTGACCTTGATTTGAACGGTTTTTCCTCGAAAAATACCCCTGATGAGACGAGGATGATATTAAAAAATCAATCCCCGATCAATTTCGGGCCGGGCACGGTGATAAGTGTCCCGGCCCTGTTTGTCTCCGAAGTGGTACATATATATATATATACTTTTTGATCAGTTTTTCTCTCTCTCTCTCTCTCTTTCCTTTACTCTCTCTCTTTCTCGTCCTCACTTCTGAATCAGAGGCTCTGATCTCTCTCTCTCTCTCTCTTTTCCTCACCTCTGATCTCCCTCTCTCTCTTTTCCTTACCGTCTCTTATCTCTCTCTCTCTTTCTCACTTACTCAAAGAGAGAGAGAGAGAGAGAGCACCAAATTAGAGTTGCCGCAATGCCACAATGCCTGAGCACCGAATCGATCTCTCTGTGTCGCGATGCCTGAGTCGATCTGAGCAAATCTCTCTCTCTCTCTCTCTCTCTCTCTCTTTCTTTCTCTCTCTCTGTCTCTCTCTATTTACATCTGAGTAGATTGATCTCTCTCTCTACTCAGATCTCTCTCTTTGTCTACTCAGATCTCTCTCGCACTAGATCGATCTCTCTGTTGTTGATGTTGGTCGATGATGATGATGTTGTTGGTCGATGATGTTGAGGATATTGAATTCATTGTTGCTCTGTTTGGGTTTTTTTTTTTTTTTTTGGTCTGGGAAATTTTCGGGGTCGGGGAAACCCGATCCCCGTTAGGGGGCGGGGACGGGGATGGGATGGTGATAGGTTCCCCGTCGGGGATCGGGGCCGGGAATGGAGAGTACGATCCCTGGCCCTGCCCTTCCCTGTTGCCATTCCTAATGATTATTTGTGTATCGGCCCAAAACATATTCGTTATTTGCTTCTCATTGACTAATTGGAATGCATAAAAGAAGATGGATTCTTCAAAGATTTTTGTTGAAAGTATTGCAACACATTACCTACTTTCCTATAAACTAAACTATTTTGCCTTTTGGTTCTCAAGTAATTTTTTTGATTTAATTTCATAAACCCAAAAAACTGCCTCCCACTAGTTTCCCTACCCATGAGTTCAAAAGACTGCTCTAAACGAAGACCAGACTCTGAGGCTAAGTCTAACTCAATTGCTTGGGTAGCTGATATCTTTCTTTGTAATGGCAACATATGGGCACAATCAAGAGATACAAGTTCATGGTTGTGTTTTTCTTTGAAATCAATCACAACAAATTTCCCAATACTGGCATCCAATTTAACAAAAAGTCAGGCCTCACAAGTAGTCCTAGTTTCAACTCTAGGGGTTTTTGTCAATAGGTCTCACTTGTCAACCTTCCAAAATCCCTCATTGTTGCAAACAAAATTTCTAGAAATAAATTCGTTTTGTAAACTTGTTCTTCTTACAATATTCCCTTCTTATGCTAAATCTCATTCTTCCTCCATATGCATTATAAAAATCATACGCACCTTCTTCCGACTCAAAGGTCATTCCTTCTTTTGGCTTCCAACCACAATCATTGTCAGGTTCCATATCCATATGAAAACGCAACTGAAAAGTAAAGGCAATCAAATGGGAAAAGTATCAATACACAATAATAAAGTAAAATCAGTTGGATTTTAGAGGTTTTGTTAGCTCAATCACTGTATTCCAATCTAATTCAAGATTTGTTTTTTTTTTTTTTTTTGGACTTCAGCCACTGGCAGTGTGCCATGTGGCACTGAGGGTGCTCGGGGTGCCCAGTCACTGGGGGTCCTTAGCATCACCCAATATTAAAAATATAACTTGTTACTATATTTATATTTGTCTCCGAATGAAGGTGAGGCCCACATCATCATATTTTATGAGTTTCACCTCATTTTGGGAGAGCTGTGAGAATTGCATTAGAAAAGTTAGGATTGAGTAGATAGCTCTAAATATTTTTCTAAAATTAGGATTGAGCAGATTTTTTATTTTTTATCTTTTTTGATGGGAGGATTGAGCAGATGTTAGATAGGTAATCATGGTATAATATACTTCTTTTTGGGAATGCATTTCTTTTTTAGATGGACTAAACCTGTTCAATTTAGTTATCATAGGATTCATTTCAATAATTTGAATAGTCAAAAAGTTAAAAAGTTAACCCACTTCCCAAACGAACCCTTAGGCCCCGTTTGTTTCACTGGATATAAAATGGAGGATATAAATATGATGTGAGATTTAGTCAAGATATATAATGAATAGGATATAAGTATTGGATAATATATCCCTCAATTCATGTTTGTTGATAGATTATATAAGACTATATATATATATATATATATATGAAATGGGAGCAACTCTTACCAAATTTAGAAATCTTATGCCAAACCATCAAACGTAGGCACAAAAATTGAAAAAATCAAGTCCAATGTCATCATTATAATCAATCAGTATGCAATACAATATAGGGGAAAATGGCGTTTATTTTTTATTTTTTTGAGCCTATTAAACAATGAAAATGGCAGTTTATCAATCATCATTTCACTGGAGAAACAATTGGAGAAACACACATCATTGTTCAAGTTTTGAAAATGACATATTATTTGGGGAACAATCGATGAAAAAAACGTATTACCTTAAGTTTGATGAAATGCAGATCAGTGCTCTGGTTCGTTGGGTCGCCGAAGCTCTGGCTCGTTGCTAAAATTGCGACTTAAATCTTCGGAGTAAGACACAGAGAGAGAGGGACAGACAAACGGATGAAATCGTGGCTGAAATCTTCAGATTAAGACCGAGGGAGAGAGGGACAAATCATCGATGTTCGTCGCCAACTTCAATTCGTCGCCAATCGTCGTTCACCGGAGCTTCGAAGAGGGAGGGAAAAAATGAATGGAAGCAAAACTGAATACGGGGAGAAGCTCTGTTGCTGTGTTGAATGAAAAAAAATTATTTTTTTTTATCAAAAATGCTAGAGGTCCCAAAAATTCTACCAAAAATTTTACCAAATGTCTCACATGGGTGTGGGACCCACATGAAATTTTACCAAATGTCTTTAAAATTTTTGGTAGAATTTTTGGGACCTCTAGCATTACTCTTTTTTTATTTTTATTTTTTTAACCAAACTGGATATGAGCCGTCCTCTCCAGCTAAAATGACGTGGCCAAATCCTGGCCCTTGACACGAGGATTGGCTGGAGAGGTTGGTTGGAGAGGATCGGAACTCGTATATGCATATCTCTCTCTTCCTGTCGATTCTTCTTCTAGGGTTTACAATCTTGAATCTCCTCCAAGGGTTTGGATCAACTCTCCTCTTGCCTGACGTTGCTTCTTGCGATTTGAAGCTGTAAATTCTCTCTCTCTCTCTCTCTGTGATAATGAAATTGATATTTAATTGTAAATTTTTGTTGTGATTGATTTGAATTTGAATCCATTCTAAGAGTGATATAGCAGGGAAATTCAAAGAGAAAACCACAGAAGTTGAATCCATAAATGGATTGATTAGGAATAAGCGTGTCTGTAAGCTGTAGTTTCATACTGGGATAAGAATCATAAATTTCTGATGAATGTAAAGAATTAACAAATGGATTGATTAGGAATAAGTGATTTTTATTCTAGCTTTTAATATTCTGCTTAACAGCATGTTGTTGCCTGATTTTCCTCCTTAATCAGTATTCTAGTCACAAGATTGTGATATCTCAAGCTTTGAGTTTCATTTATGTTGTCAATTAAATGCACATATTGTTTTGTTCTCAGATTAACCACATTAACATTGACGAACTAATTTGTTTACTACATACTGAGTCTCTCCAGTCTGATTCAGTATTATGCTCTTGTGTGTTTTCATGAAATTTTTGAACTGATTATTCAGCACTAGTTTCAGAATGCATCATTAATTAGAAATCACTTACTGGTGTTTTCTACTTTTTCTCTCATAATTCTTTGTCTTGTTTGTATGGTAAGGCAGGCTGTTTGTATTACAAATTTGTTAAGCTTTACATATCTTACTTCTAATTCTACTGGGTATGATCCTTATTAAGTTGCTGTTGTGGCTGTGCAGAGGCTGGTTCGCTTAACTCTTGAACACCCACAATACCCATTAGATTATTCGTTTCCATCACATGAGGAGGTTTGCAGTCAATTTTGTTCCTTTTTCTTTCTTTCATTCTTTTATTTTTTATTTTTTATTTTTTTGCTTGTTAGTGATGATTGGACCTTGTATCTTCTAGTTCTAGGCATTGTCCAATATTAGCAATTTATTGTTGTAAATACTCTTTTCTATGTCTAGCTAAAGGGAAATTCAAAATTACTCAACTATGCCTTGTACCAATTGTGCAAGCTGCATTACTCAAATTCTGTTTGTATTTAAAGTTGCAGCCCTTCCCTGGAATCTTGCTAGTTATGCATCTTAAATAGGGGTCTATTTAGTTAGGCTAGTTTGAATTTAAGTTTTATTGCATTAAAGGATCTTGGCACAATAGGAATGTTCTTCATTTCAGTTTGTTAATCAATCAAAAAAATAAAAAAATAAAAAATAAAATTTTCATTACTTTTCTTCTACAAATTTCTATTTTAATTCTCATAATGAAATTTTCAAGTATTGGGAAGAAATATGACTTGATCCCTATAAACTGAGATAAGTATGACATGGTGAAATGTTCTATGCTCCATAAATTTTTGTTTCTTGTGTAACTTTGTAGTAGTTTGAATTGAATATCTAATATATATATATACACAACCTGAAATTGATATTTTGCCCATGAGTTTTACTAATGCATTTTCATATTTTTTGTCCTGATATTTTTTGTTTTTTAATTGGCTTATCAGGCCTTAAATAAATCATTAGATCTTAAGATCACAAATAAAGCAGTGATGATGATTTGTAGCAGTAGTGCCCTTGAAAGTCACAAAGGGACCTTCTAAGGTGAACATTAAATCCTCTTTCACTTTCTAAGTTAAATTTTCCTTTTCTTAATTCATTGTCTATTAAAACAAACATATCCATGTTTCAGCAAATATCTGAGATGAGACTCATCTGAGAGTATGTGAATTGCCAAATTTATAGATAATCAAATGTTATTGATTATTTCTTAGGTCCTTGCATGCATTACAAAAGTGTTTTAGTGAGATGCCTTACTGACAATGCATGTGAACCAAATTTTTTTCATACCTCATAACTAGCTCTTATATTATTGATGAATTGAACAGTCTAATGGGGGAGTTTAAAAAACTCCATTAGAAGTATGCAGGGAGTGAGCTTTTTTACTTGGTTTTCCCTTTCTTTTTTTGTTTTGTTTTGTTTTTGTTTTTTTTCTTATAGTATTGTGCATACAATGCACTCTATTCTAATACACGGTCACCATTTGAAAAACTTGGCAAAAATTCTTAGCCTATTACATTTCTCCCCTTCACATTTTTTATTTTCCTCCTCATCTCCTCTTCATCCTCACTGCAGTTTTCATTCCCAAATTCTTAACATTGGTGTTATCTGCAGATTTTAAGGTCACCTGGTAAATGGCTTGTGCCTGCTGTTTCTGCACGAATCCAAGGTATTTAAAAAAAAAAAAACACTGGTTCTCTTAAACTGTTTTTCAAGAACAGTATTATGGTTGCTTCATGAAGCCAATTTACGACATCTATCAAAGCATTCCAATTTATACACGAAACACAATTAATGAAATTTATTTTCTTTTACTCTCTATAAAGCTTTGTTATTAGAATCGTATGATTTGCGATTCGAATTGTACGATTTGCGATTCGAATCGTACGATTCGATTTGATTCGATTCGGTGGGTAATCGATACGAACAGGTTGCGTGAATCGCAAATAGCCGTGAATCGAAGGTGAATCGGTGAACCGAAGAGGTGAATCGTGAATCGATTGGATTCGCTAAAATCGATATTTGGCTTTCTTTTGGATTACTATATGCCATCTTTTGACTTTTTCTCTCCCTATTTACTCTCAAATACTCAAACCTTAGCGGAAAAAAATGAACTCTCTCTCTACAATATTCTAGACTTTATTCAATTTTATCTAAATACTTGCATTTACAAAATGAATTTTTTCAAGGCATCAAAAAAGATTTTTGAAAAAAATTGAAATTTTTGGTTTTTTAACCTTGTAAAAAGTTAAAAACATTGTTGTTGAGTTATTGTTACTTTGAAATTGAAAATTTGTCTCTGTTTACTTTTTTTATTAAGAATGGTTGATAAGAAATAGTTTCTAAAAGGGAAAAGGTGAAGTGGTAAATATGGGAACCCGTGTTAACTTCTTACCCAAGTCACATGATCATCATTTCAAACAATATTTTTATTGATTTAAGTCTAAATATTTTATATTTATTAGATATTTATTATGTAAGTGTGTACATATGTTTTTCTATGTAATTTTAAAAAGGTGACCGAATCTCCACAATTCTATTCGATTTGCGATGCGGTACAATACCATTTCGATTCAAAATTCAAATCCCGATTTGACAACTATGCTATAAAGGTGTATTTCTACCATCTCAGAAGAGTTCAATGTTAAAATTTTTTATCCACTGTTCTCAGGATAAGTTCAAAACAATCAGATCATGAGTGGTTTCTGTTGTTTCTGTTCAATTGATATATATATTGCTTCCATACATATATATTTGGATTCTTTAGAAAGTGTCTTGGATGTCACATAATCACATAACATCCTGTAGGCCTTCTACCATGAATTTTCATTCATTTTCTGGCTGAATTATTTTATGTCTAATGTCCTTAATCTAAGTTCATTGATAGCTTGCGGTGACTTTAATCTAAGTTACATACTGCCCTGAACTTTTCTTCAATTAGGGATCACTTGTTTTTCGATGTTCTTGAATCTTTCAGCTTCTATTAGTTTATTCAGTGGTGAACTTATATATTACCCTGAACTTTTCTTCAATTAGGGGTAAAAAGGTCCTCTCTCTCTCTCTCTCTCTATTTGTTTTTCAAAATGAAAGTTAATTGGTAGAATAAGGATTCATACTTTTGTTGCAGCCACAGGTTCTAGGAATTTTTTTTTTTGTGACTTATGACTCTGATGGCATTAAAACTTATTGTTTTGAGGAAAGAACATTATTTCCTTATGTGTCAGAGTTTATAACAATTTCTTTTAACAATGTGGCACATGGGTTGGCAAAAATTAGATCTCTTGCACATTTTGAATAGATTGCTTCCCATCTCTGTCCATCTTCTTCAGGTTTGGGTTTTCTTATCTGGTGGATTATTAGGCTAAATCTCTTACATTGATATAGATCCTGAAAGTTCACCCTATTTGATTTGTTTTCTCCTCTTATGACAACTGATCCATTGCACTGTAATTTGTACATTTTGTACAGTATTGCTATTCACATGACAACAACAGATTAATTTCAAAAGCATTCATATGCCTGTTCCTGAATTCTTAACTGTCAACAACACAACAAATTTATGAAGTGCCAAAGTTTAGTTTCTGGTGTTTGAAATTTGAACATTATGTTTCATACTACTGTTTTTTATTTATTTATAAAAAATATAATAATTATGTTTGGACTCTGTTTCATTTCAAAATATACATGGAAAATAGGTGATTGCATGCTTCAATATAACTGTTTTCTGTTTACTTAGAGCAGATACTGATCATTGGCTTATTTGTGACAGGATAATGTGTTTATGATGTCAAATAAGAAATCAAAATATCCAGTTCTTCAACTAGAATTAAGGTTAACATTTTTTTTGGTTTCCACTTGAAGTGTTTAGTCTCTGGTGAAATGTTTGTTGACGAAGCTGCTCATACAAGCACTTTAGATTTGTTGCTTCATGTTCAATTATATCTATTTCTGGTGACATATGCTTTAGTTTCGTTGTGTTGCATTTTGTAGGCTGATTTCAGACTTCGTGGTGGTTATAGTTTCTGCTGCTATTGGTGGAATTATCTTTTCTTGTCTTGGACAACCAATTTGTATCTGTAACTGGTTGCTGCGTTCTTTTGCAGTTTTGGTTCTAATAGTTTGATTTTATTTTTACATTCAGCCACATGCAGTGAGCTGTATGTGTACAAATTTTAGAGCTTAATGTTACTTTATGGCTACCAATGCTAGGTAATTGATGGCTGTCTCCTTGCTGGTTCACTTGTTGGTCCAGGAGGTTTGAAATTCAAGAGTGAAATGGAACAGGTCTGTTGTCATGAATAGTTCAAGCTCATTGCTTTCTAAGGTAATTGTGTTTTACTTTCTTTTGTCCTAGTTCTTGCTATTAATCTGTTTGTGTATGGGCATAAAAAAGTGTGTTCTAACAGAACTAATGTGAGTAGTATGTTTGTTGCTATTAGATTGTGGTGTTTTCCTTCTCTAGTTTCCTGGATTATGAAGGCCTGGAAGGTTATAAATCCCGAAGGGGGGACTGACGATGCTGAAGAGAAAGGGCTTGATGATGATTCTTCCCACGGATTTTGGAGGAGTCACTTAAGTTTATTTGATTTTTTAGGTTTTCTTTGGAATATATTACTATATCTGTATCTATATTTTGCCTTATGCTTCAAATTGTATGTTGAGCTGTGATAAATTCGTCTTAGTTTGGTAACAAAATTATAGGTCCATGCCTTGAGATCATTGTACTCATCTTTATTTTGGTAATAAAATTTCTTACCCAAAAAAATGGTTTGGGTAGGATATCACCTAATTTCAAAATATACCTTGAATAATGGGTTGAGAAAAACATCTCAATTTTTTAAAAAAGTGAGATTTTTTTATTTTTTTTTTGAAAAATAGATCACAGTTTTTATAAAAAATTGTGATTATAACTTAATAAATGGTCATGGTTTTTTACAAAACTGAAATCTTATTGCTACTATCATTTGCGTTTTTAACATTTGATCTCAGATTTTTAACTTTTTTATCACGGTTAAAAATTATGATGAAAAACTTGCACATACGGTCACATATTCATCCATCACAATATTTGTGTTAGAAAAATTTAAGATTGAAAGATTAAGGTCACAGTTAAAAACTGTAATCTTTAATCAATTTTGTAGTAGTGATGGAAAACATATCTGAGACACCGCCACCAAATAAAAAATAAAATAATAATAACAATAATAGTCCATATATAATGGTTTAGCAGCTTGAAAATTTCTAGGATCATATTTAGGATGATTATATTAGACACATGAATTTTCTGTAACGCCTTAAAAATTATCACCAATTTTATAATTAAATCCATACAATATTTTTTCAACCAGTACAATGAATATCATTAAAGGACAAAGTATTTTATCCAAGATAATCTCTTGTCATTGTACTTTTTCAAGTGAAATATACATTATTGTTCATTAACATACAATCATGAATGATAATAGTTCATAGGGTAAGAGAATACAAAAATAAAGTGTCCTAATGGTGTACACATTTTCAAGGATAGTCTTTGATTACACAAAAATGGACATTTAGTCCCAAACCACAAAACAGCTTGGGAGCTTCAATAAGTAACATCTAGTGAGCCTTTATGCTCTAGTCAAAACAAATCCATCGCCAAGTCACTTTGGCAGAATCACAGTATCATTTCCTGAAATGTTGTTAGTGGGGTGAGCTAATACCCAATGGTCATATTTGATTCACAAGATTAATAGTGAAGTATTAATAATCCTATTAAATTAGTGTGGTATTCACTATCCAATTGTATTAATATCCATTGGATTAATAATCTCACCTCTATCCCATTACTAATAATCCTACAAATTTGTTGGATTAATTATCCATTGGATTAATAATCCTAAACCAAAATGTTAAAACAAACATAGGATAATTGGGCCCACGGATTAATAATCCCAATCCCATACTCTAATCTACTCAATCAAACATACCCAATAGGAATACATTTAACAGAGTATTTAAATAATCGAGATGTATATGATCATGTCATGCACTTGTTACAAAATCTATATTGTTTCTTTTAAAACCAAAAATGCTCAATGTATGATTTCCATTCAAAATCTCATTTACAACCGTGGGATGATAAATACGCTATGACGTCTCAAGTAAGAGTCACAAAACCATACTTACATCTATAGACTTATATACTAAAAATATTCCTACATTTGTCGGCTATTAATACGGCAGGGAATAGGCACTCAAAATCATTTGTTTTTTTACTTTTACTGACTATAATACTACAGGACTAGTGAACACCCAAAAATATTTTTCCACATTCATCTGGCGATAAGCTCAAGACAGGGCTATTGAGCACCTTAACTCTCCCGCGCGGTTACCAACACAATACACAACTATTTCCCAAAATCTGACTCAACTACTCGGACTCATATGCTATTTACCCTTTCAATATTTTCCAAATATCCACAAGATTGTAAGATCAGAAGAGAAAATCATAATGAACATGATGCATGAGTTTCCAAATCTAATTTGCCTAAGGTTCATTCAATTTATAAGCAATATTTAACAATAGCAAGAAACAAAAGGATTTCTCCAATTTCTCATTTCCACAACTCCAACATTTATCTATCTCAACACACATTTCCAAGATGAATCAAACTTATATGTTTCAACACATTTGTAACAATCATGCACCCAATTTCCAGGTTTTAAAGTTCAATTGAGCCAAACCCCATTATTAAATCAAATTTAGAAACTAGGGTTTTTGAAAAAATTGGGGCTTTTCCCTCTCTTACACTTAAAGAGTCAATATTAATCAACAATAATAATCAACAACAAACATTTATAATCTTTTCCAACAACATTAGGTATAATCCCCTTTATGTTTGTTAAATCCATTTTATACAACAAAATCATCTCATATATTTCTATAACTAAGAAAATACCACATATATATCTCAAATCATAGATACACCAAGTTAAAAGTATCCATACCTCAAGAATGGAGGCAAATAGATGAAAACCCAAAGAGAGTTTCAAGAAAAACATGATTCAATCGGTAGAAACATTGATCTTCACTCCATCTTTGTTTTTTGCAAGGGATCTAGGTTTGATTCTTAGTGAAATGAGAGATTTGTTAGAGAGAGAAAGCTAGGGTTTCGGAGCTTAGGAGAGGGGAAAGAAAAAGGAAAAGAAAAAGTGAAAAAAATGATCCAAAAAGTAACTTTTAAATTGTTGATATCACACAGATTGCTCGAGTGATAAACTTAATCTCTCAGCATTTTTGTCAACAGAACAAGATACTGCATATATCCTTATCACCGCTTGAGCAGTAAATTGACTGCTTTAGTGGTCACCCTGGACACAACTAGTCACACAGCTCAGCTCCTAAGGCATTTCCAGCATATCAACCTTATTTTTATATGTAATCATTTTGAGTAAATGCTTTCATTTAGGCTCTTACATTTATATTTCATTTACTTAAAGTTTACAATGTAAATAAGGAAATACCCCCCATTTGGATTCAAAGAAAAATATAAAAAATCAAAATTCAAGTCAATCAAAAAGTGATTCCCCCAATTTTAGTACAAAAATAATTTTTCGATTGAAATTTCTAAATTTGACGTTGAAGTAAAGGGGTTAATACTTTGTAGAAAAATCCCATAAAATCAAATTAGATTTTTTACTATATAAGGAATATTATCGTAAAAAATTATTTTCAAAATCGTAAGTTTTGAAAAACTCAATTTTCACACTTAGTAAAATTTCAAGTTAAGTCAAATTTTTGACACAAAACCTTTTTCTACTACAACATCTTTATACGAAAAGGAATAAGGGTCGGGTCTCGAACCGAGTTGTTACAATTTGCCCCACTTAGAAAATTTCATTCTTGAAATTCTGACAACTTAATAACCAAGGGTCGACAATGCTAAAAGAAATAACCATAGGACTAACGTTCGCTGATCAATCATAAACGATTTATGGTCAATAACAGTTTTCAAAGGAAGAAGTTTCCCAACACAAGAGTCTCGCTTGATCAATAAGAAATAATTCCACAAATAACAATCACAACCTTGACACTCCCACGAACGAAACCAATGTGACATAACAATTTAAGGATAGAACGACCCTGAACAAAATTATAATCGTTACTCAAGAATTTAATTCGAAATGAAAGAATAACTTGTATATTTTGGTCTCAATATCGGTGTTCCAATGACACTCCAAATGATATGAGTAACAATGCTTCATGATGAGTCTCTCCTCAAACTCATTCATAAGGATCACAAAGGTTCCTGTAGACACCCCATTTTTGACCGCTCTTAAACCTTGGGCGTTACTAATGGTTTATTTGGTGTTGAAAGTTGTGCAGTGCAAAGGTTCAGTTTCTTCGGCTAGAGGAGAGTCAAATCCTAACCTCACACCCCATTTTGGACCAAAGCTATTTTGGATGGTTTTTAGACTTTAAAACCCTCTCTTTCAAAATATTTTTGAAATAAAGTTTTTACGATGTTCCGAGGCTCGCATGTTCCGAGGCTCGCATTTTGTTAAATGTTGCGCTTTTCGGTAAACCGAGCGAGGACAAAGTGGAAATGAATGAAAGAGAGATGAAATCTTTGAAAAATATTTCAAAACACCTTATCTAGGGGTTTGAAGTTGAAAAAAATTGGAGGAGAGGGAAGAAACCAAATTGAAGAAGAAGGTGGGTATGAATCGCTAAGAGAGAGTCGAGTGGTCCTCGCTAAATCAGGCCTATCTGTCTATACACTTGGATTTAAGCTATGAGGCCACTACTGTTGGAAAGAATACTTCTGGGGTTTCATTTTAAACTTAAGAATCTCCTAAAGCCGAGTCCGGATGGGGAAGATATGGTTGGTTGAAGTTGGGCATCAATCCAGGTAGGATCAAAACTGAGCGGCTTCACCAAAACAAGCATAAATTTTTGCACAGTTGGAATTTTGATGCAAGGCTTCCACCATTGGAAAGCTTACTTTCGGGGCTTCAATTTTGATACAAGAATGACCTGAAAAGAAGTCTATATGAAGGATTTATTCCCATTTAAAGTTGGACCTGCAGAGCAGAATTTGCTATCAGCCACAAATGTGTGCAGTCGGCCAAAAAAGTAGGAGATCGGCCATCACAAGTAGCAGATCGGCACCAAATATGGCTGGTCAGCCAAGAGTGACCAAACTCAGAATTTTTGAAGATATTTTTTCCTCCAGCTGTTTCCAGGTTGTGCCACCTGTCCAAGCTTAGATATTTCGACCAAAGTTGATATTTTGCTATATATAAGAGCCTTATATCTCATATTCAAAGACTTAGAACTTCCTGGACAAGTTTGAGAGCTTCTCTCACTAAAATCCCTCTCTCTCTACAAAACTTCCAGAGCACAATCTCTGCCTCTCTCTCTAGAGCCTCTCTCTCTTGCCCTTTTGTGCATAAAAGTGCATAGAAGTAGAGAAATACTTCTAGTTTGCCTAGGCATCCTTCACCAAAGTTGCATATCTATGGACTGAGGTCCCTTGGAACTTATTTTTGGGCTGTTGGAAGGTCATTTGAGCCAACAAACAGGCTGTTTTGATGTTGTGCATCAAGAGGTATAACTCTCCTCTTTTGTGTTTGTTTTGCACACTTGCTTCACTACCATTTCTCTATTGTTTTGGGGCTGTTTTTGGGGTGGTGTTGAACAACAAAAACCTCTGTTTTTCCTCTATTTTTCAGTCCTAAAAGTGTTGGTTTGTGCCTTGTTTGGCTAGGGGGTGCTTCCTCCTTTTTGCTCTTTGGCTTGTAAAGCCTTTTGAGC